TTTGCTTTCAAATTTTAAACTTTCTTTATTTTTAATATTTATTTAACTGATAATAAAAGTAATTTTTTTATATATTAAATTTTAAAAATGTTAAAAGAAGAAAAAAAAGTGTAAGGCCTTAATTATAAAATTAGATTTATGCAAACTTGATTATGAAGTTGAAAGGGCTTAAATAAGATAATTTAAATTTACATTAAAAATTTTGAAACATCGCATTGAAATAGAATGAGAGGTGTTTAAATAAAAAAAATTAATAGTGCGAATTGATTAGTTGCCAAATTTAATGACAGAAATGAAGGGCGAACAGTCATTGTGGTGCTGTTAGCAATGGGTAGAAACTTATTTGGTCGAATTTAGTAGTTGGACGACCCTGTCGAAGAATATGAGATGACCTGAAAGAATTAACCAATTGATAATTTGAAAATCACAACGGCGAATCATCCATTTTAGCTACGAAGAGTTGTCGGGAGTTTGGTCGAAAAACTCGCCATTTCATTGATAGTTGTTAGTGAGTGGTGGTTTAAAAGTGCATGAGTTGAGATGAGAAAAATTAAAAATTATTGTAAAAAAAAAAAATTGAAAAACAATGTTACCTATATATACAAAAATATTAAAGATAAAACTAATAACCATATATTATAAAGACATAACAATTCTCTCCTTCTTTTCCTAACCCCCCTTCTTGGTCAGAGTGCACAGAATCAGCAGGGTTTGGAGGCTCTGTACCCTCCGCAACTAGACCACCCACAGCAACTTCCACAACAGGGGGAACTTGTTCATTTTCTGCAGCCTCCACAACTGGCTCAGCCTCAGTAGTTGGTGCAACTCTAACACTTGGTTCTTCTTCAATATTTGGAAGTATCGTCCTGCGGATCCTGAATCTTGTGACCCTTGTAGGAATGGGAAGGTCGTCGTCGTCGTTCGAATCTGAGGAAATTTCGATGGCAGTAGAAGAACCTCCGGGACCCGAAGGTGGTATGGTCGACGAGCCCTGAAAAGGAAAAAGATTATGTGATTACTAAAGTAAATATAAGAAGCCCAATGAAGTAATGCAAAATATTTTCTAAGTATAGATACCTTTCAGAGTCTCTTCCTACTTGGTGAGGCACGTGCCTTAATAACTGATGTCGCTGCTTCTTAGGCTGCCCTCAGTCTGGAGCGGGTCATACATATTGTTGTGCCGACTTGAGGGGGAGCAATTTGCAAGTGTTGAATAGACATTGCCCCAAACAGGTGAGGCTCTTCCATAGCAGGCAGAGATAGAAGCTTGAAGTGGCAGAATATACTAGTTCATTTTCCTAGGTCAGAGGGCAGACGAAGGGATAAGTCAGGCTGCAGGATGGGCTCTATCGCAGGGATGACGGGAGCACTGTTGCAAAAATTGAAGAAAGAATTGAGGTTGCGGTGCTAGAACGACCTGTTACTTGGAGTAAAGACGCCCTCTCTCCCAAGTGAGGGAAGCTCCATGAAGCCTAAGCCCTCCACAAGTAAAACGGTATAATCACGAGCAAACCGCTAAAAGCTTTGGCGAAAATTAGTCTGAGTCGGGAGGGCATGTGGGATGCCCTAATCCATTCCGAACTGCCTAAGGACCCTGTCTGGTCGATAGACGACGCTAGACATGCCCTCCTCATTCTACACGGGTAGAAATTTGGGGCGTATCATAGCAGCAATAAGAAGGGAGTTAGCCTGGACACTCATGCGATATCTTTACTTGCTGCTAGTCTTTTGAACTTTGAGGTTGTGAAATTCATTGCTGGTTCTTTAACCTTGGCATGAGAATGAAAGAAGTCGTTTTAGTAAAGAAATTTTTGGATGTTTGTGGGTAACATCTTTGGAAACACGAGACTTTAACTCGTCCATGAGGGATAATCTATTGGATTAAGGGCTTGTTGCATGTGCTAAATTCAATCGTGATTTCTTGCGGAAGTGGTTTAGAGTAGTTGCTTTTATTTTTCTTTTTGATTTTATTTTAGTCGCCTTAATTGCTAGGTTCTAAAATTAAAGTTGGTTGGGAGGTGTGATGAATGCTTAAAATTACATAGTTGTTCTATGAATTTTGGATATTATATTCATTCTCTCAATTTATATTTAATTGTGATTTAATGTATTTAATTTAAATTTTTAGAAAAACTACATTTGAGCCATCAACAATATAAATTGCTCAACCAGACCCATAAGACTCGGTTTGCTTTGCAATCATCTCATAACATCCACAGAATCTCTCTTAAAGGTTAGACAAGATTTCATTGTACCTCCAGTCCTTTTATATTTTGATTTTGCTCTTCAAATATTTATTTATTTTTCCTTTTACTTACTACTCATCTTTTGTTCCTTATTTGTTCCTTTTATGTAATATATATTGGGTGACTTAGATAATAGCAAGAACACTAGATCTGACCGCAATGTTGTCAAGGGTGCTTGGGCTTCTCGAATTCAGCGCAACAAGATGGTAATTTTTATCTTAATTTTCTACCCCTCTACATAAGATGTATACCTTTTTACTCACAAGGGTCTTGTGTTTGTAGCTTTTCATCGAATAAAGGATAATATTTCTATTGCCTAAAGGCAGGATTGCATATTTTTGTCGATAAGGAAGCAGAAAAGGTGTGCTGTTTTGGAAGAAAAAAGGGCATCTAGTTGATTGACTAGTCCTCCCCGTGTCATTGTATATGATATGTTTTTAATGTTAATATTGTTTGTACAAGGAATTGTTAATCCTTCACAAAATGTTCTTTTGTATAAAACTAGACTACATTTGTTCCCTGGTAAATTGAGATCTAGATGGGCCTTTCATAGTTAAAATTATTTTTTCTCATGGGGCCGTTGAGATTGAAAATCCCAAGAATGGTAATGTTTTTAAAGTAACTGGCCAATGTCTTAAACCAGTTTTGGAGAATTTCCCACCTGAAGAGGAGAGGAGTCCATTGAATTGAAAGGCCCTATTTATCGAGACCCATAAACATAATAATAAAAGCAATGTTACTTTTAGGAGTTGTTAGTTTTTCGTTTGTAATTTTTTTCCCTTGTGTTTTTGGCAATAATCCCATGCAGGTTCATGGTTCATCTTTTCTTTTTTAATAAATTTTTTGTTGACGCTCAAAAAAAAAAAAATATATATATATATATATAGACATGGTTCATTATTTAAGAATTTATAATGAACCATGGGGGAGAAAATATTTGCTTTGGGAAGAATTTATATGCTTGCTTGCTGCAATGAGTTAGTTGTTTTGTTATAAAAAAAGAAGAGACCTTGTCTAGCTTAAGAAGTTGTCAAAGCTCGAGCCATGATGGTTCTCATTCAAAGCAGAACCAAACAAAACATGGAAAAAAATGACCATAAATTTATTGTAGGTGTTATTAACTTGTAATTACTATTTATTTGGAATGTTGAAGTATTTTTGGTGCTTGATATTTACCTCTCCTAGTTCTTCCCCTCATCATTATGTTTACATATGTGCTAATGTAAGCATTGTTCTTTTATTCTACAGTTTTACTCAGGAAATTCGTCTATTTTTTCTTTATTTTGGAGAGGTGGTTCTACATGATGCTGATCGCAGTAGGAGGACCTTCATTCATTCGTATTTGAGCCGGTAAAGATGGTTTAGTTTGTAGTCCTTTCACAATAGTTTATTTGTGGGGAAAAAATGAAATTATGATTTCATCTAACAATTATTCTCTATTTATGCATATCATATGATAAATCATATTTGAAAATCACTCTTCCAATGTTTGATTGCAGTGAATTTTTAGACTGTGTTGTTGCTGCTACACTGACTTTCGAAATCTTAACAAGAGAAAACTTCTAACTAATTTTCCGACATTACTCCCTCAGGTATGATTTGAGATTGGCATGATTCTTTGCTTAGGATTTAGTTTCTTTATTTGACTGAATTTTCAGATTTAGAAGTAGAAAAGAAGAAATATGAAACATGTATATCAAATATTTTGGTAACTTATCCCCTCCTCTAACATCAGTCTTGCATTTGTAGTTTTTCCCATTAATGCTAAAGCTCATGAAATGTAGAGAAGTAAGTTCCTTGTGTAAAAGATATATTTCATTTATTTTATTGAAATGATCTTAGTTATAATTCGTGCAATTGTTGTGTCCTTATAACTTGATATTTGTATATGACAAATGTTAAAAGTGCTGAATATTGGGATTGAAATAAGGAAGTGTCTTGAAAATAGATCAAACAGTTAAAAGAAGTGCGTTAATTTCAATAAAAAGTGCATTGCATTTAATAAGAAGTGTCTTGTGTTTTCAAATTTATTTTTTGGTCTACTTTTCGTGTCCCAGGGCACTTTTTAGCAAGACCCTTCATATATATTGGTATTCATAATTGTAGTTTTATTTTATTTTTGTCTTGTCAATGCTACTTCAGAAATAAATTTCGTTGCTTATGTGATGCCACACCTTATTTTGTATGTTTAAAGTTATTATGCGCCTTCGTAACCTTGTTGGAACAAAATATGGTATAGTAATTTCGTATTGAAACTAATTGAGCTTAATGGAAATTTTGACAACTAAACACGTATGTTTAATTTCAAAAAGGAGGATCTAAAAGAATGCTTTCAGAGATACTGTGGACTTAATCTGTAGTGAAGGGCATTACCGACTTTCATACATATATTTTTTTTCTGTTTTCTTTTTTGATGCATATCAGAAAAATCGTTTCTAAGTGTGCTTCTAGCATCGATGTCTCTTGGATCATTTGTTCAGCTTATTTCCATCTCTCGTTGACTTACCAAGTGAGTTTGTTTTCCAGGATTCCCTAGTAGTTACATTATGCTCGTTTTCGTGTCTTTCTTTTGTGGTTTTCATCTCTTGCCATATTTCACCAATGAGCAAAATGCCTAGGGATACGCAAAAATTTACCAAAAAATCTACCACTCACATGGGTGTGGGACCAACACCCATGTGAGTGTTTGCTAGAACATTTGGGGTCTTGCATTATTGTTCGCCAATTGAAGTTCTACTTACTCTATTAACGGCTGCACCGTGTTATTTTCCTTCCATTAATTTATTTATCAGTCAAATAGGCCATTTTGAAATGCCTTAATTAAATTTGTTCAGAAATTCAAAATCTACATGCTTGGTACTAGTTGGAAAACTGGATTTTATTATTTTGAATGAAAGCTAGAAAGAATGATATTTATTATTCTCATATTTAAACAATGTACGCACAACACCTCTATTAATAGGAGATACATGGCATAAAATAAGGGATTGATTGGCTACTGATTCTGAGGACTGATTAGCTACTATTTAGTTACTAATTCTAATTCTAAATATAAACTTTCCTATTCTATAGTATTGACTAAATCTAGATATTTACAGCTGTGATATCCTAAAGAATTCAGCCATATCCTGGCAGAATTATTTTCTTCCCATTTCCAACACTCCCCCTCAAGTTGGCTTGAATATGTCTTCCATGGCCAACTTGTAGATTAGGTGGTCGAACTACCTCTTGTGTAGTCCCTTTGTAAGAACATCTGCAATCTGCTCCACAGTGGGTATATAAGACATGTAGATCAATTCCTTCTCAATCTTTTCGTTGATAAAGTGCTTGCCGACTTCCACATGCTTAGTTCTGTTGTGAAGAACAAGATTATGAGCAATTGCATTTTCTGCCTTCTTGTTTCTTGGAATTTTTAAGTCTTCCAATAATCTCTCGATCCACAAAGCTTTACAAATTCCATGAGCCGTTGATCTAAATTCAGCTTCAGCACTAATTCTAGCCACTACGTTCTGTTTTTTTAAAGGGTCAGAAATTAAACCCCAAATTAAGTAAGGGCCTAAGTACTGAGGTTGTCCCAGAGAGGCAACCAGGAATGAAAAAGGAGCATGGGCGAAAGTCCAAGGGAAGTGGGCCGACAGTGGGCCGGAGTATGTCCGACCCGCCAAGGGTCCAAACAGATTCCACGAAGGAAAATGACCAAGTCAAGTTGCAGCGGGAACACATGCGACGGTCAAGTTGCAGAGGGAATACATGCAGCAGGGAAGTTGCCGAGGTACTTTGCCTCAGCGTCGCCATTCCTAATATCTTCGGCTCTGCCGCCATCCAAAGTTGATGAGGGAATTGCCGAGGCGACAGTTGCGGCGACGAAGTTGCGGAGGCACTTTGTCTTAGCGCCGCCATTCCAAGTATTCTCGGTTCCGTCGCCACCTGGAGTTGTAGAGGCGCCCAAGTTGTAGAGGCACTTTGTCGGCGCCGCCATCTCCAATATTGTCGGTTATGCCATTTGAACTTGCCACGGCAAATGACTACCGCAGCAACTACTGCCGCCGCAACCAACTTGCGGAGGGAACATCCCGCCAAGGTGATAGTAGCCTCTGGGAAAAGCTTCCCCTCTGCAAGGAGAGGGTAATGCCTGGCGCTGATAGCAGGCCTCAAGGCATTACTAGCCAAGGGCTGATAGCAGGCCCCAAGACTTATTGATTAGAGTTGATAGCAGGCCCAGGGTACCAGTTTACCGCGACGATCCCGCGAAGATGGGAGCAGGGTAGCCCCAGCATAAGGGACTCCCTTTCCATGACCTGCCTTAGTCGCACAGGCAGGACTAAGGAAGCTCCTTGGGCTTGGTCCTAAGGAACAGCAAGGTTGATAGCAGGCTTGGCTGTGGCCTTTGCCCGGAAAAGCTGGGGAGTTTGTGGTTAGGTGGCTAAGGGTGAAGGCTTCACTGCGGTGAGCACGAACATTGTCGATAGCAGACTAATGGAGTCTTGAGAATGTATGTAGTGGCCAAGTAGAACTGAGAAGGCAAGTGTAGTAGCAAAGTTTATCGCTGCAAGTACACTTGCTGAGGTTCGAGCTGAGAAGGCAAGTGCAGCGGCAAACGCTCTCGTCGCAACTGTACTTCCTGAGGCTCAAGAGGGAGTTGCAGCGCTAAACACTCCGTCGCAACTACACTTGTTGAGGCTCAAAAAGGTAGTTGCGGAGGCAAACAGATAGTACACAGTACATGTAGAAGGACATGTGGCACCTTCAGCATGGTGGCTTAAGGCAGAATATTCCATGTGATCCTCTAGGACACATGTCCTCTCTCTATTTGGCCACTTGGTGTCCTCTTGGTGCCAAGGAAATGTCTATATAAATAGGACCCATTTCCCATGGTTCAACAAGAGGAATTTTGGGGATTTGGGGTAGATGCTGCCCATTTTGGCACTGCTATACATTTCTTCTTGAGCTACTTGCTTCCCCCTCACCCAGCTGCACACTCTCCAACTTCTAGACAGTTGTTGCTGCTCATTCTCAAGCCACTTCCACCATTCTTGGACCATTAGCATAGTTTTGCCTCTCTAATTACCTTCTCTAACCTCGAACCCATTTACATTTCTGGCGACTTCGCTGGGGAGGCTACTTTGTTGATGGTTCATACCCGCAGTTGTTTACACACCTCACTGGAAAAAGATGGCAGAGAATAAAGTTCAGCAAGGCTCTTCACATGGCGGAGCAGCACATGCGGAGGATCGTGACCACAGTGTTGTGATTGAGGTAGTTCAGTCACTCCAGGATACGCAGAAGGAGATCCTGGCAGCTTTGCAAACTCTCACTGGGCTGTTATGGCCATGGCTTCTCGACCAGCTCCAGCGCAAGCACCTCTGGCCGTAGCAGTCCCAAACCCAGTGCCTAACTTGTTCCCTGAGGTTCGGGCTTCGATCCAGGTGCCTTCGGCGGTACTTCAGGTGAACGGTGCGGCCGCTGGTTCAGCTACCTTGGAGCAGACTGGACCATTCCAGCCCACTCACTTTTTTACTCTAGCCGATGTACAAGCTATGCTCGAGCAAGAGCGTAGCAAGAAGCCACTCCCATCTCTCCCCGACTTAGATGTGAAGGCCCCATACTCTCAGGAGATATTGACCATGCCATACCCAACTGGGTATACAGTGCCCAAGTTTATTAAGTTTGATGGGAAACAAGGCAATGCCAGAGAACAGGTGGTGAGGTTCATTGAAACTCTTGGTGTCCATGGCAGTGACCACTCTCTGCGCCTTCGGGAGTTCTCCAAGCCAACTCCGGCAACCCCATTTTCCCTAGTGTACGGGTCCGAAGCTGCGTTACCAGTTGAGTTGGCAGTACCCTCAGCAAGAATGGCTATGTCAGCACACTTAGTTCCAGACAGCAGAAAGAATGACATAGAGGCAGCTGAAGAAAGAAGAGATTGGGCCTCGCGGGCAATGGAAAAGTATCATCAATCCGTAGCTCGTGCCTACAATCAATCTGTTCAACACACAAGAAGTTCAATACATGGGACTTGGTATGGAAGGCAGTGGACGCAATCATGCGGGGGCAACCAATTCCCAAGTTCTCACCAAGATGGAAAGGCCCCTACAAAGTTGCTGAGGCAACCAGCAGCGGGTACTACAAGTTGACAAGAGTAGATGATGGGTTCAAAATTGGCCCTATCATCGCCACGTTGTCTGCATGCTTGCGGAAACTATCGACTGCCTGAAGCCTATCCCTCATCCACGATAGGTCCAAACCGTTCCTCTTACGGCCGCTCTGGTTTGCCTTGGCACTTTCCACGAACTTGCTAAGGGTTGTCTGAATCTTCTTAGTAGCAAGGTCGCGAATGAAGCTGGCGAGTAACCGCAGCAGTGCGGTCTGCACCATAGATCCAGGAACATTAAAAGCAGTAAAGATGCTGAGGTGCAGCGCCTGGATGCGTGGTGAGAGTGGAAGTAGCTACGGAGAAGACCCAATAACTTAGAAAAGAAACTTTCTCTGAGGGCTGAGGGGACTCCCTCACACCCCCGCCAGCTTCAATCACTGGAGGGAGATTGGTGGAGCGACCAAAGGTCTGAGGACGACGCATTTCCCCTGAAGATGATTGCCCAGCAGCATTGGAATGGGTAGATGCAGCGTTGGCGACCGGGTGAACTAGCCTCGCGAGAAAGACTGAAGCTGCTTGCACCGTCATGTCGCTCCGAAAAGAGGTTATCCATCTGGTAGTCTCCAACGTTCAGAATTGGAACAGTAGTGGTATCCATCCAGTATAAAAATCTTGGGATACCCCAAGGTCAATTGGCACTTCCGGAAAGTGAGTGGTGTACAAGTCTGCCAGTTGTTTAGAGGTTGCCGAAGCAACTGGGTTAGAGGTCCTAGCGACAACAGTAACAGTGTGGGTGGCTAAAGTGACAGTTACTTATACAAGTCGGTCCAAATTTAGAGGGGTCACAGCAGGAACAGTGGAAGCAGCCGCTACACTTGCACTCTCCTCCACCACTTGGGCGTTCGGAAGTGGGGTCTGCTGAATCAATGGAGACTCAGTGGACTGGGAGGAACCACCAGATGCAGCTCCAAAGGGAGGTGGTGCAACTTCCAGCGGCTCTCTCATGCCGGTATCTTTCCTTGGGGTCTCGGGGAAAAAATCATGTCCGCCGACAGAGGAACGGTCGGAGTGCACAGAATTAGCGGGGTTTGGAGGCTCTGCACCCTCAGCAACTAGGCCGCCCGCAATAACTTCCACAGCAGGGGGAACTTCATTTTCTGCAGCCTCCACAACCGGCTCAGCCTCAGTAGTTGGTGCGGCCCTAACATTTGGTTCTTCTTCAACATCTGGAAGTACTGCCTTGCGGGTCCTGAACCTTGTGACCCTTGTAGCAGTGGGAAGGTCGTCGTCGTTGTCATCGTCTGAATTTGAGGAAAGTCCGATGGCAGTAGAAGAACCTCTGGGGTCGGTGGCATGGCCGGTGGGCCCTGAAAAGAAAACAGGTTATGTGATTACCAAAGTAAACGTAAGAAGTCCAAGGAAGCAATGCAAAATATTTTCTAAGTATGGGTACGTTTCGGAGTCTCTTCCTACTTGGTGAGGCACGTGCCTCGGCAACTGATGCCGCTACCTCTTGGGCTGCCCTTAGTCTGGAGCGGGTCGTTCGTAACTGTCGTGCCGACTTGAGGGGGAGCAATTTGCTCCAGACGGGTGAGGCTTCTCCACGGTAGTCAGGGATAGAAGCTTGAAGCGACAGAATATATTGGTCTGTTTCCCTCGGCCAGAGGGCAGACGAAGAGATAAGTTAGGCTGCGGGATGGGTTCCATCGCAGGGACTACGGGAGCACTGTTGCAAAAGTTGAAGAAAGAATTGAGGTTGCGGTGCCAGAACAGCCTTTTACTGGGAGTACAGGCGCCCTCTCTTCCAAGTGAGGGAAGCTCCATGAAGCCTAAGCCCTCCACAAGTAAAGCGGTATAATCACGGGCAAATCGCTGAAAGCTCTGGTGGTAATCAGTCTGAAGCAGAGGGGCATGTGGGACGCCCTGATCCATGCCGAACTGCTCAGGGACCCTGTTCGGTCGATAGATGACGCTGGACATGCCCTTTTCGTTCCACACGGGGAGAAATTCGGGGCGTATCATGGCAGCAATAAGAGTTGGCCTGGACACTGTCGTGGGAGAAATCAACATGGCGAGCCTCGGAAAAATAGAATGGAACCACATAAATGCCTGGAAGAAGCTGAGTGAAAGGCACACACATTCCTCCATGCGGTCTACATAATCTGCAAAGGGTCTGTTGGTGCCAAGACCAGACCACTGAGAGATGCAAGGGAGGAAGGGAGTGGCGCACTTGCCTCGTGACAGGTCGACCTTTGCATCTAGAACAGGACGACCCTCTGCATCAAGGACGTCGTCTGTGAAGAAAGGCTCATGTTCTTTAGGGACGGGGCCCGTGGCAGGGAATCTCTCTTAGAAGAAAGCGGTTAGGAACTGAGTGTGCACAAAGCTCTACACATCATAGCGGGCCCATGGATCGCTCCATGTCCGTATGGATGAGATCAAGCGGAAGTATAAGTTCCCTAAGAAGAGGGGGGGCCAGAGGGATTTGGCTGCCGCTGCAAAGTTTGACAGCCAAAGGGAACACCAGAGGGTTAATACTCTCAGCAGGGTTGCTGGGGAGAAAAAAAAAAAAAAAATGAAGTAACTGACGAAGGCGGCCAAGTACAAGTCGCTGCGGTAGCCTGGCCCAACTGCGGAGTTGCGACTCTCCTTTGTGATGTCGGTCATAACTGGTTGCAGGTCCTTGAAGAAATGCTTCAGCCAGAAAGATAAGTGGTTTTGTCCCTCTTGGGCCTCTCCTGGAGTAGTTCCCCAGTCCTAAGATCAGACCAAGAGCCATACTTCCGCGCCTCTCGAAAGGCTCCTTGGAGGGCAGTGACAGAAACTTGTTCTGCAAGAGTCAGGGACGCTGGATCGAAAGGGTGATCTCCATGAGTGCTCAAGCGTAGAAGGACGGTAACATCTTCAAGGGTTGGAGTTATCTCCCCCCATGCCAAAGAAAAAGTGTGAGTGTCGTGGCTCCAGCAAGAGACAACCATATCAGTGTTGGTCT